CTTCTGAATAGCTACCTACAGGACAAATCATTTTCTAAAATAAATTTTGAAAATTTTGAAACCCCATGCAATGGCCGTAATATTCTTTCCCACAAACAAAGCATTAACACAAATTGAAAACTCCATTTTTTTTTCAATGAATTAGCCACTACAAAATCGATAAGGAATTGTTAACAAAATATGAAATAGATAAACATTTTATATTTTTGAATTTTCATAATTTTTATTTTCTTGAATCTATAATAGACTAACACAGAAGTATCCAATCACAGTAATTATGCCCCAAAATTAATCTCGATGATCATAGTGCCCATTTAGCAGGGCACATCGCCAGGCTAAAAAGTTAATAAGTATAATATATAATATTCTAGATTTCTAGTAGCTATACTGCTATAGTGCTATAGGATATATTAATAATTAATATATAAATAGCATATAATATAGTATAGGTACTCTATTCGGAATGAGATCGTACCTCGGCGGCGACCGGTTTTGTAGGGTGGACCCTACGGCGACACTGAACAAACCCACGTCCTTGCGCACAACTTGGCCGTCGGGGTAAGATCTCATTCTGTGATAGAGTATAGATAAGTATAAACCATAGACTTAACTAAGTTAATAGGTAGGTAAGTTAATAGGTTAGTAAACTAAGTTTATAGGTCTATGGTATAAACACTATAAACTATCTTTTCATAGTAAAATCATCGTGATCTTCACAGATAATATTATGTACAATAAACGAATGTATAATTATTGTACATATCTGTAATAATTGTCAGCTACTTGGTAGCCACCAATATATAACTATTCATGCCGATTGCAACCGTGCAAGTTGGACTAGTTGGAGATATTTTATACTACACTGTTGTACGATGTTCACACACTATAATACTGGCTGTTTTTATTAAAAAATCTCCTATGAGGATGAAAGTTGTAGATTGGACATAATAATACCTAATATTAAAAATATTTTCCTTATATTTGTTAAGTTGTTGGCAATAAATTATTATAATAAAAGTTGTTAATATTTTATTCATTTCAGCTGGATGTATTGTACTTAGTATTATATGGGGTATAATATATATATGTATATATTTTTTTTTATATTGAAGACAATACAAATTTAATTTTTATAAGATTTTTTTATTAGGTAAGATTATTATGTAGGGCATCTCATAAGCATTTTATTATATTTTAATTTTAAAGCGAGTTTTGATTATTTTAAAATATTGTAAAAATTTAAAGTCAAATAAACATAGGTACCTAATTAGTTATAGTATTCAATTATATTTATTTTTAATTGTGTCTTTAGTTATACACTTGTACTTAGTAGTAGGAGATGAGAAAATGATTAAACATAGTTAACTATTTGTAGTTAAATTTTCAAAATAACGATTTACGAGCAAATAGAACATCAACTGATGTACCTAGTGGCGTAGTGCTGTTGTTTCTAGTTTTTGAAATATTTGGATTGGTATTCAGTTCCATATTAAATATATTATGCACGATGAGTATGAATTCTTATAAATAAATGAAGTTTTTTTTCTTGTTTTTTTTTTTTTTTTTTTTTGGCATAAACAATCTATACTATTTGAAGCACAATAAGTTTATATGATAAGAGTAATAGAACATGATTGTTTTGAATAAGCAGCCACCCATTAGTGGTTCATGGCTATGATATTTTTTTTTTTTTTAGATTCTGAGCGGAGCGATGAATGTATTGGTTTTACAATGATATGTGTTTTTTTTTATATTTTTATATTTTTATATTTTTTATTTTTGTGTCTGTCATCACGTTTTGGGACAGTAAAAGTGCTTCGATTTTCTTCAACAGTACCTTTTCTGATAGGAATGTGAATCTAGTTGGTACTTTGGGGGGTCAAAAGTAAACATTTTCCAGTAGTTTTCACAAGCGCCGGGAAAAACAACATAAAAATTAAGGAAAAACGGGAATTTTTACGCAAAATCGATTTTCCAAAAAATCGAATTTGGTTTTTGGTGTAACTTTAAAACAAATGACCGTAGATACATGAAATTTTCACTGGTTGTTTATAATTGCATTTTCTATACACGATAACATTTTCAAAATATTTTGATTTATTTTGAACTGTTTAGGGACATTTTCATTTTCCATTTTTTTTAGTTTTTTTCTAAAAATATCAATAAAATTTTATTTGTTGGTTGCGAAAGCTTGAAAATTTAATAGAAGGCTCCTAATATGTTGTTTCAAAGGCAGATGAAAAATATTAAAAATCCTTAGTCACAATTTTTTTTTTATAAGCATTTAAAGTTCAAAAATTGACAAAATATGGAAAAATCACGAAAATTAGCAATTATTTTGAGTTAAGAATTCGTAAAATTTTTCTTTTTAAATCTAAGATTTGAAAATGTAATATAAGATTACTCATAAGTTTTTCTACCTTTATCAATAAAAAAATCTCTACCGGAATGTCAAATTAAATTTTTATGAGCGTTTGAAATTCAAATTTTTACAACATTGGATGTTCACTCGATTTCTCATGTAGCGATTTCCTTATGTTGTTGTAATTCAAAAACGAATAACTGTAGATACATGAAAATTCACTGAATGTTTATATTAGCATTTCCTATACACCATACAATTTGAAAATATTTTGACTCTTTTTGAGCTGTTTATGGACATTTACAGCTTCAATTTTTTTTAGTTTTTTTTTCTATAAATATCAATAAAGTTTATCTGTTGGGCCAAAAAGTGTAAAAATTTAATTCAAGGCTCCTGATTTATTGCTACAATAGCAGTTGAAAAATATTAAAAATACATAGGCACAGTTTTTTTTTACAAGCATTTAAATATCAAATTTTGATAAAATTTATCAAAATCTCGAAAATTATCAATCGTTGGAATTAAAAAATTATAAAATGTTCAGTTTTTATGACTAAGAGTTGAAAATTTAAAACAAAGATTCTCTTAAATAATTCATACTGTAACCAAAAAATCTAAGCAATATATGAACACAGTTATTTTTTACAGACATTTTAAATTCAAATTTGGACGAAATTACATATTAAAATCAATATTAACGATCTTGGTTTTTTGTTGTAATTTAAAAATATTATTCGGGGTCTCGGGGATATATGAAACTGAAAAATCAACACATTATGGCCTATCCATACAATCTACCATAGTATAAGGAATAAGAAGTATGCTCATGATAAGACTGTGCATATTTTAAGGGGCAATGAATAATTTATTAATAAATTCCATATAATTTAATACCATAAATAAGTATATAATATGTCTTATACCTAGACTGACATACCGCCTCTGCTCAGAATCGTTTTCTATACAATGATATTTATCATGAAATTCAAATTTAATACCATCCATCATACAGTGACCCACTTGTAACCTACAGTATAGCAGAGCGACATCCACTTACCCACCTTTTTTTAATTGTTTATATTATTATTATTCAGAGAGTTAGACATTAAAGTTTTGTAAAAGGTCACGGCACCACTTTCTATTTAACCTACGGTTTGGGTTTCCTGGGAGTGTAAGGATAGAAAGGTCTTTTATAAGAGGATTTGTATGGGTTTGAAGTCGTTTATGGAAACGTGTATAGAAAATGCGTGCTTCCGCTTCTATTATTCTCATACAGAGATCGTTATGAAGGGCTATAGAGATATAGGGGGAGCATTGGACAATCGTCGGAGCAAAATATTTTGGAATGTTTGGATTCTGTTAATATTTGATTTTTTTGCCGCACACCATAATTGAGTCCATACGTCACATTGGCTTTGAGAAGAGATTTGTAGATTAGTAGTAGTTTGCTGTTAAGGGGGGAACACTTATTTCTAATTAACAGGGGTCTGAGAATAGGCATGCCATTATTTAAGGATAGCCTTTTGGATTGAAGGTGGTTTTTCCACGTCAGTCTTTTGTCAAGGATTAGCCCTAAGATATCGACCGTGTCGGATGTGGGAATTGTGTATGTTGTTAAGGGTAAGTTTGGGCATATTCCTTGTTTGGAGGCGTGAACGTTTTGTGTACGATTTATTTGGTTAATTTGGCACGCCATTTTCATACTACTCAAACAAGTGATTGAGATGCATTTGTAAGTTTGATGATGCAATTACAGGATCTTCATTGATAGATAAAATGACTTTATCATCGGCATAATCAGCTACGATAGTTGTAGCATGGTGGTTGGTCGGCTACGTAAATGTTAAAGAGAAAGGGGGAGAGTATTCCACCTTGTGGTACACCAGCTTTGATTGGTGCGATTCCGGACGTCGACGAGTTATATTGGACTTTCTTATTGTTATTGATTTTTGTTTTTAAGGCAATAAGCAAAGCGTTACTCAAAATCGGTTAGAAAATCAATATATCTGTAGGTACCCGGCCCAAAAATATATTTGGTTAGACATTTATCATTGTAAAATCAATAAGTCATTCATTGATCTGCTCAGTATCTTAAAATAGTATTATACCTAGTATTATATTATATCAGTCAAAATATTTTAATCTAAATCTTTAAATGTACCGAACTACAAGCACAGTGGTGTATTTACGAGGGGATCAATGGGATCACCATAGGCTGTATGAGCGGCATTTAGTTTGCATTAGTAACACTCATTTTCGCCGTCATAACAGAATCCCACCTTCTGAGATTAATTAGTTATATGAGAAAGAGTTTAGTAACTATATTATTTTTATATGAACAAACCATTATTTCATAAAAAAATTTAATGGATATACCTGACAAAATACATATTTTGATGGTATGCAATGTCGAAATACATTTTTTATTGAAAAATTAGTAAGAAAAGTTAATATTTGTTATTAAAAATAAATGCAATTCATACTTTACAGATCATTATGGAATTAAAAATGTCTAACTTATTTTCAGTTAGTATGCTTATACCTTATACTGCACACATATTAATATAGAAATAAATTCATTACAAATATAAAGAATACAAATAATTCAGTATTCATTTAACTAGTATTTAGTGTTTATTTAGCCGGAACAACCTCTACATCCACAATGCACACATTCCACAATTCGACCCTGAAAAATATAATACATAAGTAAATAATATGTTGATTTTAAAACTAATATTTGAATATATAAAATTATTAAGCAATTACTTCTTCTAGTTTAGATTTTGGGACTCTGCATATACAACTAGTTCCAAAATTTGTATCCCTAGTTTGAATACAACGAAGGCAACATAGGTTTTCATAACCTTGTTTTTTCCATTTTGCTATTAAATTTTGATCGGCAATTTTTTCTTGCAGGCAGAAATCATACAATTCTATAACAAAAAAAGTCAATAATAATTTAAACTATACCTATACCTACTTTTATAATTTTATATTCAAAATATTAGGCATACAGTTAAATCTAATAATAGATACAAGCATATTATATAATATATTTTTAATTATTGAATAAAATGTAATTAAATATTTAACTATATTATGTTAATCAAACCACAGCGGCTAGTCAAAACAAAAAATTGTAATTTAACTTAAGTAATATAATCTTTTCAACTTGAAATTGTCTAAGCGGTTTTTTCTTACTCGGCAACAATATTACAGAACTAGGGAGAACTATATCTAAGTTATTTAATTTAAGGGGATTGGTGGCGGACAGTTTTTAAGGACTTCAATCACAATAATATCATAAGATTTAAGTAATATTAAAGGCTGACAGTCCATCTTTGCTCAGTATCTTTTTTTGTATACAATGATTATTGCATTCAAATTTAAAACATCCATTACAGTGACTCTCTAAATACCTATTGTACAGCAGACCATTACCCATGTAGCGGTATTTTCATTCTTTAAAATACTTTTGTAATTAGTCTATTTATTGGTATAATATATTATACGGTTGATATAAGGCAACCACTGCTTGGGAATTAGGCAAGTACCAGTTGTTTCTTTACTAAAAAAATAATTCACTTCAATATACGAGCATTTTCAATAAATTTCTAATTTTAGCCATAATCGATGAGAAATTATAAAAAAAATCATCAAATTGTGTTCAATTCCATTAATTTATAAGAATATATCTAAAAACAGAAAAATTAGTACTTAAAATTCGAAATAAACAAAATAATATTTTATATACCTACCTACGACATCTGAGAAGTTTGAAATAAATTTGTATCTTACATTGGATGAAGAGTAAGACTTACCAAAATAAAAAAAAATATGGTATTTGCTAGAAATTCCAAGTCCTGCTTATAAGTATTGAAGAGGAAGGGGTAGTTGATTATTGGCCACATACTATGAACATGTTATTGTTGTGTAGCCAATGATGTAACCTGAAATTTAAATACTTGTAGAAATAGTTTTAAGGGAATCAGCGGAGGACGTTTTTTAAGGAGTTTGAAAAAGGCAATTTACAAATGTCATGCATACGGGTCTTGTAAATGTGTGTATAGTAAGTGATCAATAGTGTGTGCAGCTGCGTGTAAAAGAAGTAGCAGAGCTTTCCCGCATCGGCACGTACAAGTCAACGGCTCGGCGTTTCCCGCATGAATGGTAAACAATCTATACTCAATTATATGTACTTCTTGTCCATTCTACCGATCAACCTAATAATGCGATAATATTTCAGAAAATTTATCTGAATTTTTTATAATGTCTAAGCCTTCAGAATAATAAAACTAAATTTATAGTTGTTGATGGGTGGGGGGGGGGGGGTAGCGTGGTGTGGTGGTGGTGAAATTGGAAAATTGATCTTAAGTAAACATAATAGCAAATTCAAATCAGTTTTCAAAAGTATTATCGCATTACTAGGTTGATCAGTATGATGGACAAAAGATTGGTATGTTTTGGATAAAATAACTGTCCGCCACCAATCCCCTTAAAACCCATTCTAAAAGTGATACTTGTCTTTATTCTGAAAAATAAGAAAATTTGGGTAAATATTTTGCAACTGTAATACAAGGTGGGACATAAGATATGCATCGGTGTCATATATAAAGTGTCTAGTTTTATCTAGCGTCAGTCGCCGAAATGGTTTGGACGGGAGAGCCTCGGGGTTTTTCCGCAAAAACTTTTTTCGAGAATGGCCATTTTGTTTGAAGGGTGACGTGGAGTGACTAAAATTGACTATTTGTGCATTTGTGACTTTTTCTTCGAGCATATCTAAAGAAAAAAGTGTTTAAACAACGCTCTCACACCCTAAAAGAACTAGAAGAAATAATCAAGGAGGAATTTACAGCTATACCCATTCAAGTGTACCAAAAAGGAGTGGAAACCTAGTGGAATCACCTTCAAGAGTGCATCGCTTCTGACGGCTGACATTTCAGAGATGTAATCTTTAAAACTTAATATAAAAAAACTAGATACACTACTGAATCGAAAAATATAAACCTTATTTCTGTAAGTCCAATAGTTTTTATTTTACAGCCCTTCAAAACCGATGCATATCCTATGCCCCACCATGTATTAAAACCCTGAAAAAATACCATAAATTGTACCCTTTTAAAAACATTTTATTATAATATTTTCTATTTATTTTCTCTTGCAACTAGGATTTAAAATATACAAAATTATAATAAATAATTATAGTTGTATTCAAAACTGATATTTTAATATAAACAAACCTCTAGAAATAGCTTTACGTCTATGAAACAAATCATAAATATATCTTGATTTCTGGTTATGAATTTTGAAAATTGGCCACAATGCTTCTACTTTACGTTTGCCTTCATGAGATTCAGTTTCAGCTAAAAACCACATAATGTAATATTAATATAAATATACCTAATTTTTACAATATTTACTACCTACGTTTATATGGAGGAGATAACCGTTTTGAAATGAAAACGTTTTAAAATAATTAAAATTGTTTTTTCAAAAAATGAGAATAAGTGTTTATATGCAAATACTTAAAACCGATTTAATATGAAGTTTATCTTAAAACGTTTTAAACAAAATTGTTAAATTTAAATTGTAATTTTCAATTTTTCATAAAAAGGAAACCAGCATTGAGATTGGACGCATGGTGCAAAATCTAATAAGACTGATATCATAATAATGATAACTTAATCGGGATAATCCCCGTATACATTCAAAAATGTTTTGAAAAAACTAAAACGGTTTATAATTATAAACCGGCTAGTACCTACGTTTTATCTTTCAAAATGGTTTAATGATTTCAAAACGATTTGAAACCGTTTATACGATCCAAAACGTTTTTATTTCATAATGTTTTATCTCCTCCATATAAACGTAGTAATTCATACAACAAATTAATACTAAAAATAATTAATTATTATTCTAAAAAAACATTAACTATATGAGCAAAAAAGTTAGATTTATTCATAAAATATGTACCTAAATGTACGAGGGACGTCCAGAAAGTAAGGTTACAAGGGCTGTGTAGGACGAAGGGAATTTTGTTTTTTAGAGTTGTCACCACTATCATGTAGAGAATTTTCTAACGATCAAAACAAATCATCAAACACCTCAGTCCGTTACGAAATATCGTCACAGCAGCCAAATGAGTCAAACGGTTCGTCCTCCAATCGCTCCACCTACCGTAGGTGTGAGATATTTTGAATTTCTTGAACAGTATGAAAGTGAGGGTGAAACTTTTCTTGACTCAATTGTGACTGGTAACGAAACGTGGGTGTGTCACTATACTCTCGAGTCAAAAAGGCAATCTCTACAGTGGCGCCATACCCATTTACCATCAACCAAAAAGTTCAAAGTCCAATTTTCAGAGAGAAAGATGGCCTCTGTTTTTTGGGACCGTAAAGGGTTATTATTGGTCGATTTTATGCCTAAAGGAACCACCATAAATGCAGCTGCATACTGTGAGACCCTCAAGAAGTTGAAAAAAAAAATCAAAGGCAAAAGAAGAGGAATGCTGACTCGTGGTGTGTCACTCCTTCATGACAACGCTAGACCTCATACCGCCCGTCTCACTCAGGGACCTGCTTGTTTCATTTAGGTGGGATATTGTGACTCACCCACCCTACTCCCCGGACTTGGCACCATCGGATCATCATCTTTTCAATAAATTGAAGGAGTTTTTGGGTGGACAACGATTTCCAAATGACGAGGAGGTCCAGGATGCTGTCGAAAATTGGCTTCGGGAGGTGGAGCGGAAGGTATACGACGAGGGTATACAAAAACTGGTCCCTAGGCTTCAAAAATGTATTGATCTTAATGGCGATTATGTAGAAAAATAATGACATATTTTGACACTTATCTTGTAAATTTCATTTAAATATATCCATTTTTCAATTTTTAACACATGTTGTAACCTTACTTTCTGGACGTCCCTCGTAAAATAAAATATTATTTTAGATTTTTATATAGTTACACTTTTTTCTGTTACCTATCTGTTTTCTATTTATTGATTATTGTCTTTGAATATTTAAATTTTTGTTGATTAATTTTTGGTTAATAAAATACAAATAATTCTGTACAAACTGTTTTTATTTTATAATGTCTAAGACATTATAACTATAGTCGTAATCATTAGAGGCTATCAGGGGGAGGAGGCTTAAGGGATCTTAGCTCCTCCAAAAGTCCATCAAGCGCCCTACTTTTCAAGTTATGTGGGATTGAAGACCGCTCCACTCACATTTATGTTAATTATGTACCCCCGTTGAAATTTTAATGGATCTCCACCTATGGTCGTAATCAATAATAAGTGTATAAATTAAATTTTTTGACTTGGAATCAGTCTCGCACTACCCAAATATTTTTTAAATAAATAAATAGTTTGATTTCATGCAGTACCTGAAACCAAAAGTTTAAGTATGCCTATAATTATAAGAACAACCACATATTTATATTATATACATATAATAAATTTAGAATAAAAAAATTTAAACCTCATCAGAAATTTAAGATAAGTCTGGGTTTTAAACTGGCGGGCGTATCCACACGTAATGGACTTAAGGCCAGTTGTATCGTATACGATTAATCAGCTGATAACAGATTTTATAACCGGGCAAATTCGGCCAATTAAACTTTGGTTAACTTTAATCCGAGATGGTACAACTGGCCCTTACACAACAGACACAACAATGATTTACATTACATGTCCATAAGATGCCCATGACCCATTTTTACCTATGTTAATACTAAATTACATTTTACTCTTTGATATAGTAAAATGATATACAAGTACATCCATTTTTACCTTGCATACCTTTTACTAGTTTTAACCAATCCATAATTAAGGAAATATGTTGGCTACTTATTGTTGTCAGACTAGCTAAAAATGTGTGCTACGCCAGACGTATGATCCTGCGCAAGCCTATGAACCTTATACATTACATTTAATAATTTAAAAACGGAATTTCTTGTAGAATAGGTAGATTTAGATAGCCTTTATATATAGCTCTCTAGGTAGATTTATAACTGTTCCAACTACGATATAGTAAAACGCCTTATGCAATATTGTTTTTGTATTTTTATTGTGAGCTCCCCGAATAATGCGCTCCCTGGCAGACATCCTTACCAGGGGTAGCTGAGGAAAGTCTGCCAGGTCGCAGGGGCTAAGGCCAGATGCTATTGATATATTACGTATGTTTTATGTCAATAAACGATGGTGGTCGGAGGTGAAGTAATGCTAACGTGGTTCCACCTCCAACCCTCGATTTAACTAAAAAAAAAAAAAGGTATATCTATATCTGATTATTATGTTATATTTGTTTGTATAATTTTTATCGGTTTACACGAAAGACCGAACTTATTGATGGTGAAATAGTACCTTAACAATCATGTATTCTTACAAAAACCAAAATCGTTTCGTACCTACCTTCTCTCATTTTTTGCTCCAATTCTTCTAGTGTAGGTTCTATAAGTTCCCATCCATCCGGAGGCGGTTTCCGGCTTCTACGAACTTTCGGCATAATTTAATTTAGTAGTAATAGTAGTATAGTACCCAACTTTCAATTAAATTTAATATTATATTATTATGAGTTATGAATGATGTTTTATTGTTTTCAAACAACAATTTTCTATAGATAATAAAGAAATGGAAGAGCTCGGCCCATAATCCAGTGTTGCCAGAACTTCTATACTACATAGAAATCTGTGAATTGATTAAGCAATTGACAGGGTCTCCCTGAGTATGATAAGCAATGTCTGATTTTTTTTTATTCTCATCTCCCAATTGACCCAGCCATGGCCATAATATATCATTGAATTCAAATTTAACACCATCCATTTCAGTGACCCAATTGTAACCTACTGACTACTGTACAGCAGAGCGACACCCACTTGCCCTCTTTTTTTTTTTATTGTACTTTCCTACTTCAAAAACTAATAACTGATTTAAAGACTTGCATTTATCACTTTATATAATTTTAAAAATATTTTCGCTTTTTTTGTGCCATCTAAATACATTTGAAATGCTCTACATTTTTTACTATAATTTCTAATATCTTATTATATGAAACTAGCTCTCCGAGCAATACACTTTAACTAAAATATATATAGTAAATTAATAATATATATTCTCCTAGAAAGTAGAAAGGTATAGGATGACAATTGATAGGTCGTCTGAAAAACCAATCATCATTCTTCATATGACCGCAAAGAATCTAAAACCAAATTACCAAAATATAAACAGTTACTAATACGAATATGATTCAATTTCTATAAGTGGGTAGTCCCGAACCCTGCTTTTATATGACATGTCGCATGCGTATGACATATTGACACTGAGGACAAAAATTCACAGAAAAAATGTTACAAATCATATAATATTATAATTATGATTCTCCATTTTATCATCCCTATTGACTTTAACATTTTATTTTGTTTCATTTCCATTGTAGGTACCTAATAGTTTGGATGCATGTTAGTTAGGTAAAAAAATGTATCTATACAAGAAAGTTAAATAAAATTTTTGTGAGCATTTGAAGTTCATATTTTTACAAGAATATTTACTGTAGTGATTTTGTTATTTTGTTGTACCTAATTCAAAAACGAATAACTGTAGATACATTAAAATTTCACTGAATGTTTATATTCTCATTTTCTATACACCATAACATTTTGAAAATATTTTGACTTTTTTTGAGCTGTTTACGGACTATTTCAAATTTCAATTTTTTAATTTTTTTTTCTATAAATATTAATAAAAAGTTGTTCGGCCAAAAAGAGTGAAAATTTAATACAAGGCTCCTGATATATTGTTACAATAGCAGTTTAAAAATATTAAAAATCATAGGCACAATTTTTTTTCATAAGCAATTAATGTTCGGTTTTTGACACAATTTATCAATTTTAATATTTAATAATTATTTTGTAGTTAAAATTTATAAAAGGTTCAAGTTTTATAGCCAAGGATTGAAAATTTAAAGCAAGGTTCCACGTAAATAGGTAATGGGTGCCTATATAAATTACTTTATTTACAATGATAGGTATCATAAATTAATATACTTATAGTAAATAGTAATACACTAATATCATATAGGAATAGGCTGGCTAACCGTCTTCGCTCATATTCATTTATCTTATATAATATATGATATTATATCATTGAATTCAAATTTACTTAATCCATTATAGTGACCTACTTGTAGCCTACTGACGAGTGGTAAATTGGCCCACAGTGAAAATAATTAATTTATCTATACGTCACTGGTACATAATTATTTATTTATTCGCAAACAAAAACAATATTACCTACATATTTTATCAGTTTTTTTTCAGTTCATCCAATCAACATGTAAGTGGGTAGGTGCCCAACAGTATGACAAAATATTCTAGTTATGTTATCGTACAAACACATTGACTTTTATTTCCGTTAGATGTTTTTCTGGGTTTTTTTCCGTGGTCATTATTTCCTACTAACATGACATGCAGTAGCGTATCTAGGATATACAATTTTAAATAGACATTCATTAATCATTATACACAATATTATATTATATTCATATTATATACATGTTGTATTGTGTACAAAATGTAGTCTTGGTGGGGGGATATGACCCCCATATGACCCCCCGTAGATACGCCATCGATGACGTGTATACATACGTCCATAGACTGTGATATGTAAATGTCCGTGTCATCTATAATATTTTTTAATATGTAAAATTCTAATATATATAGCCATATATAGGTACCTACGTCCTACACCAGTACATCATCACTATATCCTTGTATAACACACTAATACGTACCAACGATTAACGAATAACATAAAATATTAGTAAAGGTATATTACTATATTAGTATAGACATGGGCGCCCATAGGTAACATTTTAGGGGGGGGGGGGTCAAAATAAAAAAATTTTCGAATGTAAGATAATAAAGATTTAATGTTATTTTTCACATATAAATGTATACAGTGGCGTATATAGGGGGGAGCCCCCCTAGGCCAGAGCCCATAGTGAAATTGCAGGTTCAATTAAAGCATTGCATGTATATCTACACTGTTTAGAGTTTTTCACCATGATTAAGTTAGCCGGTTGATTAAAATCGTTTTTGAGGAATCAACAAGGAAATGTTAGATTGTCGGGACTTGTTTGATGACTTATAGTTAACTTTGATATTGAATTCATAGTAAGATAACATTAAAATATATAAATGACACTGTCATCATTTTTTAAAAAAGAATCAGAAAATTAATTTTACATAATAATTAAATTTTTTTTGTACTATATATGTCATAATTATTAATTATAACCACCCAGCTCTTTAAAAAATGTATAGTTATGACTTATGGCTATGTTAGTCGTGCTATGCTTGACTAGTGTAACTGATAAATTGGCCCATAGTGAAAATAATTTGTATATACGCCACTGAATGTATACATATGCATATGTTATATTAGATTCTAAAAAAAAAATGCCATATGAATAAATAAATAAATAATAATTTTAATAGGTAAGTATATAAAAAATAGAAATTAAATAATATAATTAAGTATATTATTCGGTATCAGTAAATAAGAACTGCAAATTTCTTCGTTTTATTCTAAACATATTAATGACATCCTGAATGTAAGTATGTATCCTTGTTTGCGTTAACCCTTTAACGATAAAGGCTCATCATATACAACCCATTTAAACGATCTTCTCCTGTATTCGAGTGAAGCATGAGTGAAGCCACGTTTTTACTTATCTTAATATACTGAACGATCTTTCTATTGTGAACGTTGTCGGAGGCAGTGATATAAAAATATTAAGTAGGTATTTGAAATTGCAGGATAATATACGCAATGAGCCAATAAATCAACAAACGAAATTTCATCACACTGGGAGTCAATCAAATTTTTATCAAACCAATACTGATACCAAATATTATAATAATATATCTTCATCAGATTTTTTTTAATTAAAAACGATCGAATATCCATAGTAAAAATTGAAAAATTGAAAAAATAATATTAAATAATCACTAATGACACTCAGCAGTCAGCACTATAAATATATAATGTCACACAGAAAGTCTGATAAAATATTTGTAGTAGGTACCTATATGTATTGTGATCTTTTTTGATTTACCACAAATTATCTGTGATAAATAATTTTACGTATAGGTACGTACTACAGACTAAGACCTATATCTATGATGTTAATATACAATAACAATGAGTATATTTGTATACTTATTTCATATCTTAAAAGTGATTTCTACAAATAATTTACCTCGGTAATAAGGTAATATTGTGGTAATATTTATTGAGCTACAAGTTCATAATATTTTTTTCCAGAGCGGGGCAAGTGCCCTGTATTGCCCCCCCCCCCAATGGGCGCCCATGAGTATAGAGTATATGGTACAGAGTTAATGATGGTCTTGACTCAGAGACACTTGAGACAGAGCAATGATGAATGAAGACGATTATGACATGACGACGTAATTGGCGAGCAAATATAGTGGCTTTAGTCTTTAACACATAGGTATAGTATTCCCATATAATAAGTGTAAAATAATTTAGCAGCCAGCTTCAACACCCTTCAGAAACTCGACTAAAATAATTTAGCTAACAATTACAACACACGAATACACAATCATTACCAAAATAATATATATAAGTTATTTATCTCGTGCGACCGGGCCTCATAACCAGTTAATACGACATGTTATGTGTTTATAACTTGTAACGTCATCATCTGGGTATTTTGTTTACATCCTTATAGACTCGGTCGCAAGTGACGTCGAACGTACACAAACACACAAATACACATTACTATACGTCTATACGCATAGGCCTGTGTTTAGGGAATTTAGGAATTTAGGAAAACGCCTTATGCGGACGATTGACTCCCGTCTCCCGTCATAATATTGTATTATTTATTTAATATATGAAGAATGTATAGATCATGTTATATTTCAAAACGGTTTTCCAAAAACAGTTAGTCTAGGACCTAGGTTATGATTTATAAATTTATAACCGATCAAAATTAGCATCTTATATTTTATCCTATTTAAAAATTCACCTTAACAGCTGATACACAGTGTTTATTAGTGACCCTGAGTGATACATTTATTTTAGGTACCTAATATTTGTTGGAATAAAAATCTCTAATAAAATATAGACATCACCCAGCAAAAAAACTGTGGAAAATCCGTGTACTACGTTGTTATTTCGGGAGGACCAATTTATTCTCCGTAGTGTAAAATGTAAATAAACTTTACACTTAACCGTATTTAGAAGAGGCCACTAGCCAGTTCCCCCCAAGCGGAGCTTCGGAGGAAGTACCTATATTTTTACGACTTTTTGTTTAGCCAAATTGTTTAATTATAATATAATGTAAATTTAAATTTTAAATTTTTTATGTATTATCGTATTAATGTACCAATTAGGTATATTTTCAGTTTTTGGAAATAAAGGAAGTATATTTGTCATTATTATTTCAATTTGTAAGTGGTATGAGATACACACGACAATAAA